TTCAATGCATACCTTTTGGCTTCTTGATATGAACTCTGCAGTGAGCTCTCAGTCTTTGACTTCTGCCTGTATCTTCTGGCTCTCCAGCACATAGACAGCTCTTTCACATTGTTCCACATCTGACTCTGCAGATGTCCTTGTTACTGGACTGCATATCCACAGTCAGTTCCTCTAGTGAGTGCTGACTGACACAGAAGGCCATTTCAGAACTTCCCAACACCATTTGGGCCCATGGCTAGATACACTGACTCATTGGAAATGGAAGTTTTGAAGACTATTGTACCAGGGTCCAGGAGTACATCCCAAAAGTTGTTAAAAAGATTTCCAAAGATCTGTGATCTACTGGACAAAAAAAAAAAAAAAAATTCAACTAGACTGAAGAAAACTATGAATTTCTGTGAAACTGAGCATTTTCCAAAAGGTTAGTTTTGTATCTTATAAGTAATACATAGCAATTTTTCAGTTCTCAATAAATTTTCCTTTACCTAAAGTCTCAAACATAGATTTTTTTATGGAGCAATACATTTGAAAGCTTCTCAGGGAATTTTTCTAATGATATTTCACTTTCAACAGGAGGTTTACATTTTTACTTAATGGTATTTCTTATCGTGGCATAGCTTTACGCCTGAAATGGATTGTATTATATCTTCAAATAACCATTTGGAACCCATTTTCTCTCCATGGCCTGAATTCCTTAGTGTTTTAACGTAGATATAAAATACCCATGGAAAAATATAGTGCTACCATTACCAACAGTGTATGCTTCTTCACATTGAAACAAGATATAATATATCTCTGTATTTCTGCTAACATGTTCATGATTTGTTCAGGTAAAAATACTCATTAATTATCTTTAATAATACACACACATACACGAATAATCTTTTCTATCCATACACATGTGCCTTCATACGTGTACATATATTCACACAAAGAGAGAGTAGAAAAAACGAATCTGTATTTTCAAAGATTACTAAATATTGTATTAGGTTCATCAAATGCAGAACTTATAATTGTGTATTACTAATCTCTAAAAAAACTAATTTTACTGACTTATAATAAACACTATCTTATTCTTGTCTCCACTTCAAACTTTTCAAAAGCTTTGGTATTATTTAAGTTTGTAATAATTGATAGTAACTCATAGTATTTCTTAATTTCAGAGAGCACCCCCCTTTTTTTATTGAGATTTCAATGTAGTCCTCAGAATATTATAGTTTGTGTTTTGAAATCTACCAATTTAGTTGTATCCTTCTCTATTTTTCTGTGCCTCTTATTCCTTCTTTACTATTTCTCTCCTGATCAATTTTTATTTGTCTTCTAGAATATTTCCTCTGGTAACAGTTTTTTTCTATAAGGGATCTTCACTTGTTCAGTCTTGAGATACCTAGGTTGGCATCGCTTTCGTGTGTTTAGACATTACTAAAGGATATTTGCACTTACACAAGATTGGGCTGGACAATGCTCTCACTGCTGTGAATTCTACTATTTCTTCTGCTGTTTCTAAGTCTTTCAGAACTTATGTTTCTTCTGCCTCTTTCAACACAGACTCATTATCACAGCTCATGAGGTTGTAGGAAGATTTCCTCACCTGCCTGGAATTTAAACTTTCTGGTTATATATTGCTACCTAGATTTGTTATAAATATTGTTTATGATATTTTGACCTCATTACTTCCCTGCTTTTATATGAGAATTAGGAAATGTTTAAGCACCATACAGATATTACCATCATCTTCTCAGAATTGAATTCTAACATTATTGAGAATTTCATTAACTGTTTGCTCGTTTCCTGCTAAGTTCCTGCTTTAGTGCTTTGGGTTGAAATTTTTCCTAGAGTATTTCTTATATTTATTTAACCAGCCTTTCCAGGATTTGTGTTTGTGTAGGACTTGAATGACTCTAACTAATACCTGCTACTTACTTGATAAACTCTCAGTGAAGTAATTATAATTTAAAAACAATGATAAAATCATAGAGTTAAAAGAAAGGAAAGTATTAGGTAAATGCCAGAAAAGAATAATAGTAATATCTGTCCTATAATAAGACACAGAACTCAAATTTGAGAAAATCACAATAAGGATATCATTGGTGATATATACACCCATGAACTGAAATATAAATTTTTCCTCACCTTGGAAAAAGTTATTAGTTAGACTTGTAAACTTGAGTTAATGCTAGAGAGACATTCAGAACGTCTCATTCCCCTGATTGCCATCAGAGCTCCATAGCACATTTTAAGACAAAGTGCCATTTATTATAGAGGCCTGATACACAGACAGGCTAAAAATCACTATTGAAGATAGGCATAGATTCCAGAAAGCACATCCATTCCTTGTATAGGGTCTATCCCCTAAAAATAAGTGCTCTAGCTGTTTGCAGTCACATGCTGTGCTCACCATGTTATTCTTCCATTTATTTCAATGGGAACAAGAATGTAATTCTGCAACCTTTATATAAAACAGAACAAATCTGTGATACCAGCCCAATTTCTAAACCTAAGTTCATGCTAGTGAAACATTCAGATCTCTGCTTCTCCTGCTTTTAAACAGAGCTAAATAGTATATTTTAGGCAATTCACTCTAGAGGCCTAATATGCATACACTGTGAAAAATAAGTGTTGCAGATAGATATTCCAGAAAGTACAGTCAGACTCCATTCCTTTTATCTAACTTATACCCAATCATTGAGACTTCTAGCTGTCTGCAATTGCAAACTACACTATCTTCCTTGTTCTTCCATTGAATTCTGTGGGTCCAAGTATGAGGGGGAAAATCCTAAGCTGCGACCTTCTTTTAAGAGAGCAGAACAAGTCTGTGACATCAGGTAGATTTCTAAAGTGGAGGTAGCACTAATGAGTCATCCAGACTACTGATGCCTCTACTTTTTCACAGAGCTGAATAGTACATTTTGGGTGAAACTGCGATTGACTGCAGAAGCCTGCTGTCTATGCACTCTGATCATCAGAGTGGTAGAGAGGCAGGTATTAGAAAGCCCAGCCAGACTCCCTGTATAGAGTCTACACCCAGACACTGAGAGCTGTAGCTGTATGCAGTTACAAACTGATCCTTATGAACTCTTGTTCCAGTCATTTCATTGAATAGACTAGCTCCAAAACACATGTGATCTGTAACATTCATTGAAAACAGCACAGCAAATTGGTGGTATCACATAGACTTCTAGAGTTCATACTAGTGAGTCAATGAGAATTCTACAGTCTCCTGCTTTCCAACAGGGCTGAATAGCACACATTGGACCAAACTCCTATCCACACTAAAGGCCTGATACGCAAGAACTCTGAATATCAGTAGTGTAGAGGCAGACATTCCAAAGAACACATCCAAGCTCTATGCCCTGAATCTAGTCTATCAGTGAAACCTGAGAGCTCTAGCAGTGTGCAATTAAAAACTGTACTTTATGCACTATTCCTAAAATCACCTTTCTAAACAGAAGTGTGTCAAGGAAAAAACAGGTCTGCAAACTTCATTTTATTGTAACTCAAAAACCAAACATGAGATAATGGTAGCTCTATCTATAGTATGGCCCTAATCCAAGACCTAATCCTAGCCCCAGCCCTAGCACTAGGGCTAACCATGGCCCTACATCTGACCCTGTCAATAACCCTAACACGAAACCTACACTTCACCCTAAATGTCCCTTTAGTTTGCCCCAAAATGTAACCAAAAAACCTATTTTAAAACTTGCTCTAACTGTAAACCTAACACTAAACCAGATAATAACCTGAACTAACCTGATTTATCCCAAACCATCCTAGTTGTAAACCAAACATGAAGATAATGGTAGCTCTATCTATAGTATGGCCCTAATCCAAGACCTAATCCTAGTCCCAGCCCTAGCACTAGGGCTAACCAAGGCCCTATATCTGACCCTATCAATAACCCTAACACAAAACCTACACTTCACCCTAAATGTCCCTTTAGTTTGCCCCAAAATGTAACCAAAAAACCTATTTTAAAACTTGCTCTAACTGTAAACCTAACACTAAACCAGATAATAACCTGAACTCCTAACCTGGTATATCCCTAACCATAAGCCTAATAGAAAACCTAACACTAACACTAACTCAGCAATACCATGACACTACTACTACCCCTAGCCCTAAACCTAGACTTAATTCTAACCCTCTTAATAGCCCCAGCACTGATCCTACCACAGTGATATCCCTGGTCATGCTACAACCCAAGTCTTAACACTATTTATAACTGAACCTTGAAACAAAAGGTAACTTTATCCTTAAACCTAGCACTAGACCTAACCCAGTCCTAGTCCTACCAAAAACTAACCCCAAACCCTAAACCCTAAACCTAAACTTAAACATAAACTTAACCCATTCCTAACCCTGACCCTAACCCTAAATGCAACCTTTATATAAAACAGCAGAACAAATCCGTAATATCAGTTAGACTTTTAACTAGAGTTCATGCTAATGGTTGATCGAGAACTCTGATGTCCACTGCTATTTACTGGTTCATACAATGCATGAACTCTGAAAATCAGTAGTGTAGATAGGCAGACATTCCAGGGAAGACTCTCAGTCTATTGCTTATTTTTAGTCTATCTACAAAATCTCAGAACTCCAGCTGTTCGCAGTTACAAACACCACTTTAAGAATTATTCTTCCATTCACTTCTATGGGTAAAGAAGTGTCCAGGAGAATCTGATTCTGCAAATGTCATTTTCTTTTCATCCTACTCCTAAACCTAACCTTAACCTTAACCCTAGCACTAGCTCTTAACAAGCCTTATCTACAAATAAGACAAAATTCAAAATTAAATTATTAGTGCACAGTGTGGATAAAATTTTGTTTTAAAGTCAAAATTAAACTGAAGTAAAATTATTAGATTTAGAGTTCCTTATTTAAGAAATGTGTACAAAAATAGTCTCATAATTTCTCAGTATACATTTAAGTGATAGGAGTTTCTCTGAGCATGGATATCTTATTCCCATTATTCATAAGTATAAAATTCAGGTCTTTTCTTCTTGCTCTGGTAGCACATATACTAAAATTGGAATGATACAGAGGAGATTCACATAGCCCCTGCATAAGCATGACATGCAAATTCATACAGTGTTTCACATAAATATATGAAATTCAGAGGTTTTGAACTGTTCTGAGTTCATAGTTGATTATTATTTCAATAGATGCTTCTATTTCTTATTATGTAATATTTAATAAACTTAAATGAAATTAATATAGCCATATATTTAATAGGAACACATTTTTTGGAGATTTATAATAAATAAAATATTTATTAAATTATTATCTCTAGATACAGTCTAATAGGATCATTGCTTATGTTATTTATTCATAAAACCTAATGGTTTATAAGTTAATCATTTCACTTTGGCCACTGAAACAGTGATATTTTTTCCTCCATTGCATGTTCTAAATCACTTGACATAATAAGATAAATCAGCCATAAGGATAGAGATAAAATGGCTCATTTTATCACTGAGGATGTGGACACAGGGAAATCAAACGCTATCAGTGAACTTCTTAAAGTTAGATCGCAGATCTACGTTCCAAGTTCCTTTATGGTTTGGTTTCTGTTCATGCAAATACAAGGAGAGGGAAAAGGGAATGTGTGCTCCGTGGACAGACTGAATCCACGGGGGGAGAAAGGTTGAGCCATTTATATACAGATCATAATGATGTACACATGGGACTGAAAACTGCTTCTACCTTGAGAGAGAACTTTGGAGGAGGGGGAAGAAGCCCAAAATCATGTTGTCAGAGTTACTTTAATAAAAGGTGTGGGGACGTTAGCCAGAGTTATGTATGAAGAAGATATGCAGAGGTAAGGGAGTTATGAGGCCATGTGCCTGAAGCCTCCCAGAATGCGTGGATAGAGATAAACAGATAGCCTACTGGGCCCCAAATCAAATAAGATAAAAACAAATTGCCTTAAGGAATTAATGCTCTATCCCTTGTCCTCCCCATACTCTGATTTATCAGTTAGAGTGATCTTAAGGTCAATCATGTAACAAACCACCCTGACTTTCCCGTGTGCTCCCATTCTCTCCCTTCTCCCATGTAAATTCCTCCACTGACATCATTCATTTGTCTTTTATCCTTGAATCCTGCTTCTATCAGTAAAAAGCCAGGGAAGCTTCCATTCTGGGCTGAATTTATGAGACTTTCTCACACTGGGGATCTTGGCTAAGGATGACCCTTCTCGAACTTCTCGGAGTTTGAATTGGACATTGACTCTGAGTAATTGTTCATCATTTGTGCAGTGCCTCAGTGGTGAACTATGACAAAAAAGAAGCATCTAGTGTAACAGTTTTACATTGGTCACATTTTAATTTTGACTTTAAAATAAAATTATATCCATATCAAGCACCAATAATTTGATTTTGAATTTTGACTTACTTATAGCTAAAGGATTGGAGAGTTAACCACATGAATAGTATGTTTTTATCTGGGAAAACATCATACTTTTTCTTTTGAAAATGTAGCAGTGCAAATATATATATATATATATATATATATATATATAGTCTCCAAAATTACTTCATTGACCTTGAACCAACTTTTCATGCTTGAAGAGGAATCTTGGAGTGCATTTGCTTTTGTTCTATTTCCCAAAGAATTGTATTCTTAAAAATATAGCCTGATAACGAATTTTTCACATTCACCCTCTGCTAATCTTTTCAGATTCCTTAAAGTTCTGAAAGACTTCAAATCCTGTGGGATCATAAAGATACCATATGTGACAGATATCAAAGCTCTCTATGAATAAGTGCAAAGGTTATACACATAGTAATTATAATCAAGGGGCTTTGAAAATGAGTTTCATAATATTCTTAGTCAAATGACAAAGATAGGCACACAGCATCAGTTCCTACTATGCATTGCTACTGCTTGTCTGTCTCATACCAAACATACGTGGCACAGAAATGAAGCTTAACAAAGGTATAGAGAAATTCAGTGATTTATGTAACTGCCGTTTTCCCCAGACAAGTAAATACTCAAATTAATTTCTTTGCATGTTGGAGTCATGAATTATCTTTCTCATTCTAAAGGTATTTATATTACTGTGCACAATCCAAGGAAAAGGAAATTACCATAGACTAAGACTTATTTTGATGTGGATACTGTCTGTGGTGCCATATATGATTGGAACAAGATATTTAGGATATTATTGAAGAGGATATGGTTATCGTTATTATCTGGGGCACCTTAATTCTTTCTCTGAATTAATGAAATTAACACTATATGGAAAATAATTTTAACTTTAATTGAGCATCAAAGCATTAAAGCAAAATATTTTTTATTTTAATTCTTCCTTTTTTACACTTTTCTCCTGAACATTGCCTGAATATTTCCTGCTCTAAAAATTGGATTCTTTATTGTATCAAGAGATATTTCCATTATGATTTACTGCCACAAAAATATATTATGAATCTTATCTTCATGCTAATTTAAAGGGTACTTTATATGTAATCAGAAGTAACATTAAATGGAAATATTTGTGAGCCTATATCATTTTCTTCTTCAATCTGTTATATACTTGGATGGAAATGAGTGAGCTACTTACAGATTATTTCACTCAATTGTTACATATTGAGAACCTCATTATGTTGCAGGCATTGTTTTATCTTCTGGATATAGTTGTGAATAAAACTATCAGAAGTCTCTGTCTTCTTGGAACTTCTGGTAAATGCGGATGAAATGTAAGATATAAATAGTTGATAAGCAAGCTGTCTATTTTAAAATATGATGAAAACTGTAGAGAAAGATAAATGAAATAAATAGCAACATTAATTTTTTTAGCAACATTATTTTAATGTTTGGACAGAAGTACGGAAGCAATTTGATGACTTCATAATTATCTTGGGGAAAAACATTTTAGTCAAAAGAAACAACACAAAGGTGAAAGCTTGCCTGACAAGGTCAGAGAAAGGAGGTAAGTAAATGGTGGAGATTTATTTAACAGATTGCACAAGGGGGAGAGCAATGTGAAATGAGCTAGGAAAAGATAAACTGCTAGGAAATAAACAGCAGATCTTGCATGGCCTAGCAGGTTAACACAAACACCTGGCTTTTATGCTGTATGAAACGGGATTTAGAGGTTGAGTGTCACTGAATCTTTTGAATAAATAAGCATCTTAAATTTACTTTTGTTTTAAAAGGATTCTGTATCTGTTGTATTGTCCAGAGATTGTAAAGGACCCTCGCAGGAAAAGAAGACTTCAGTCTGTAGGCAACTTTAATATAAATAATTTTTCATGAATAGCTTATAAGAAAAGTATGATTTATACAGAATTTATAAATGTATACAGTGTTATAACAATGGTTGCATGATGATGTCCAAAGATTCGTCTCATATTTTAATCCCTGGAATCTGCGAATTTGACCTTATTTGGAAAAACAGCTCTGTCTGTAGATGTAATTAAATTAAGGAACCTAAGATGAAATTGCCCTGAATTTTCCAGATAAGATCTAAGCCCACTGAGAAGGATCTTTATTAGAAGGAATTAAACTCTTTCTCTGTCTCACTCTGTCTCTGTCAGTCTGTCTCTCACTCTCACACCTGTTTAGCTCATAGGGGTAAATTATGCATAATATAAAAATCTATTTTGTAACATATTAAGTATATAACTTAGGAGCATTTCAATAATTTACATTGTTGTAAAACCCTCTCATCTACCTCCAAAACAGAATTTTTTCACCATCCCAAACTGTGTAGCTGATTGGTAGCTGCTTGGGGGGCCCAAGGGAGATTTTCACAGATGAGATCCCCAGGTTAAAGAACACGCTTGTGCAAGCCATCAACAACAACACCCGGCAGCACAGAGCAGAGTGATAGACACATGTCTTATTGTATATTTCTTATACAGACTGTTATCTCATATTTACATCCTTACATATTGCTGTAACCAGTGCACACATGTTTACCTGTGCTAAGTCATGGTTACATAATTGTATCCCACTGTGTGCCTGCTCTAGACATGCAGGGTTGTGCCCTCTGGTGTCCTTAGATGCCGTGTGAATGGTTCCTCACACTGATAAACAATAACTCCCCATTCTCTTTTTCCTGAAAAACATTATGTTTCCATGAATTCAACCCCTCTTCCCTCTTCCTTGCTATTTCTGGTTAATACGTTAACTGCACACAAGTTATAAACAAAATGCAAGACAACATTTATGCACCTATTATGCAGCTGTGAAAATTTGCATTTATATTAATTAGTAGACAATGTGATTCATTATCTGAGCTTACATGTGGCTGCCCACTCTTGGCTAGAGAGAAAGAAGAACGCTGTGGAAAAGGTGGCATAATTTTCGATTCCTTATTTGCATAAAGCCCTGAGTATTTTAAAAGTAAAGGAATTCCCCTTCTCCACCTTCAACCTCACTTGAGGTGTCTACAGAATCCCTTGGTGCCAGCATAATGGTGGCGAAGTTAACGGTTAACAGCCCAACTGAACTTGCCTTCAGAACCATCAACAGAGCCAAGAAGCATGAAAAGATAGGCTTCAGTCCTTGCACTCCTAATACATGGCCTCAACTTTATCTATGACTAAGTTGCCAGCTTCCTATTTTCACTATCTACCCAGCTCAGACATACTTGATGGAATTTAATAGCTTATTTGCAGAGAATCAAATTGTGAAACGTGCACATGGTCGTGTGAATTGGAAGGTGGCACAGCGTTAACAGGGTTTGTACGACTGATGGAGGATTCCACAGAAAAGGCAGTCACCAAATCATTTTTGTTCTTTCGAAGCAAGAATTTCCACTTTACATTGGCTTAAAACTGTAAATCTAGAGTTTTTAACGTGTCCTTGAGAATTAAGCACTGTAGCACACCTCTACACAGGTGTGATTTGCCTTCTTCACAAAAATCTCTGCTTCCTGACAGATCTAACAGGGTGTTTTGGTTATGTAAGGTTTTAAAGGCAGTCACCTTCTTCCATACATACTGCCTGGGGAAAGATCCTATTGAATTTTGTGGATTCTTCCAATCTTTTAATAGGCAAATGCAGAGAGAATCTTCACAGTGGAGTTCTTGTCCCCAGAGGAGTGCTCTGAAGTCTCAGTCCACAAAATTTCATGACTGGCATTCTTGTGATTTGAA